GTGATGGGAAATCCAGACTCTTGACTGTTTAGCGTTAGCCGTTAGCTTCACCAGCCGATCACACGCTCACCTGGTTTCTGAGCGCTCCAGTTGTTACCTCCATGGTTCAGAAGTAGAAGAATTTGCTCCATTTTACTGCATTTCCGTCGGCTACATTTTCTGCAGCCCAGTTGTACTTGGAAGTGGGAATTTCCCACTTACAAGTCAAAAATTTATACTGGAAGAAGAGGGAATTCCCTGTGGGAAAGTGGTAGAGTTCAGAATTCAAGATGGCGGCTAGTCACCATAACTCAGCAGTGAGTAAAAACTATCTTAATTTTACTTTTAATAGTATTTCTGTTATATTTATTTTCCATTTAGTCAGTCACACTCGTATTACTTTTCAGCATGTATAAGAGGACGTGTTAAAACACTGCTTATATGCAGGAAATACCAGGTAGAGCTCAGTTAATACAGACTTGACTACACTGCTGAGTTTTGGTGAGTAGCTGCCATTTTGAATTCTGAACTCTCCCACTTTCCCACAGGGACTTCCCACTGCTTCCAGTTTAAATTTGAGTTTTAAGTGGGAAATTACCACTTCCTAGTACAAATGCAGGAAAAGTAGCCAGTAAAAATGATTAGAAATGTAAATTTTACCCGACTAGTTTTGAACCCTGTGCATCTCCACCTGGTGGTGGGAGGCCGTCATTTTGCAGGTTAAACAATCAACATGCATTATGGGAAATGTAGTTTATGGTCAATGCTGACTTTAAATCAGTTTATTTTAAGATTGGAATACGTCTTTGAAGCCCTCACGGCCCACATTTTGCCCGCAGACCTTGAGTTTGACGTATGCGGTGGCTTAAATAGAAAATATTTTAGTTTTTAGACAAAAAGTCAATTTAAAATGAACTATTTTGAGCTCAGAAACATCTCAAAATATAAACAAATGAATGAGCCATGAATGAAACTTAAAGATGTAAAAACTCAGCGGATATTAAAAAAATTAAAATTCTTGAAGCCTTTCTGTAAGTCCCTGTCAGGACCTGGAGATGAGTTTTTATCTGAATAAGATAAAAAACTAAAACTCTTGGGTTTTTATAAACTTCCTCATTTGTTAGTGTTTTAAACTTTTTAAATTTATACTTTATTTATTTGGTGGAAAAAATCAAAGTGTTATTTAGATTCAGATTTATCTGGTATTCAACGATGTCTGAAATTTTGGGTTTTTTAGGTTTCTTTAAGGACCACGTGTCTGATTTTGTTTCCTTCGCTCTAAAAATGTTTCATCAAAACCTGGAGGATCTGAGAGGTCAAAGGTCAAACAAAGTTCAGCCGTTTTATTTCCTGCTCCTCCGTCTGAGACGAAGACTTTGTTCTGAATTAATCTGAGGCGACAGTTCTGCAGAGCCTGTAAGGAGTGTGTGTGTGTGTGTGTGTGTGTGTGTGTGTGTGTGTGTGTGTGTGTGTGTGTGTGTGTGTGTGTGTGTGTGTGTGTTATCACAGAGATGTGAGTCATCCTCTCTCTTCTGAACGCAGCTCATCAGCTTTGAACGATACGCAAACACAGACAGAACAAACACGAAACATCACTGTGTGTGTTAAACAACACAACAGGCACACAAAGAGGGATGAAGAGCCACAACTGACATTTCTGAACAAACAACGCATCGATATGAGAACAAACTGCAGCTGAGACCTCACATGGTCTGAAGGAATGCATGTCTCCTCATCATCATCATCATCATCATCATCATCATCTACAGAAAAGACACCTTTGTTTTTTAAGCCCCTCCCTCTGACATCATCAGGTCATTATCTCATTTAACCTAGCTCTGATGATGTTTTTAGCTTATGTTTTGGTTTTTTAAGCTAACCTTTTGCTACTTTTAGCTAGTGTTTCGATGCTGTTAGATATTCTTTTGCAATTTTTAGCTATTCTTTTGGTGCTTTTATTTAGCTTTATGACATTTTTAGCTATTGGTTTGGTTCTTATAGCATTTAGCTAATGTTTTGCTTCACACCTTTAGCGATTCTTTATACTTACCAGTTTTTACTGACGTTTTATTATTAGCTAATTCTTTGATGGTTTTTAGCTAGCTCTTTGCTACTTTTGGCTATTATTTTGTTACTTTCACTTAGATTTTTGCTATTAGCTATTGTTTTGATGGTTTTAGCTAGTTTTTGGCATTTTCGCTATTGTTTAGCCAGGGTTTAGCTTAAAACCTTCAGTCATTTTATGCTACTTTCCACTTTTAGCTGAAATTTTATATTTTTTAGCTAGTGTTTTGATGGTTTTAGCTAGTTTTTGGCATTTTCGCTATTGTTTAGCCAGGGTTTAGCTTAAAACCTTCAGTCATTTTATGCTACTTTCCACTTTTAGCTGAAATTTTATATTTTTTAGCTAGTGTTTTGATGGTTTTAGCTAGCTTTGTGCTAGTATTAGCTAA